CACATGCAGAGATCATCAGTTCAACTACTTTGCGTCTCACAAAGACACGGCGGTTGGAACCAAAAATCTCCAATTTGGATTCCAGACCAAAGGACACATTTCCACCGGTCTAATGTCCATTGCTCATGTTTCTTGGCCCAAGCAAGTCTCTTATTCTTATTGGTGTCCTTTAGTAGGGGTTTCTTTGCAGCAATCCAACCATGAAGGCCTGATTCACGCAGTCTCCTCTGAACAGTTGATGTTGATGTGTCTGTTACTTGGAACTCTGAAGCATTTATTTGGGCTGCAATTTCTGAGGCTGGTAACTCTAATGAAATGATACTCTGCAGCAGAGGTAACTCTGAAGCCCTTACTGATTTAAAACTTGTGCTTAATACGGGCAAAACGAAATACATGTTTTCAAGTTCTCGTAAAATTGTCTGATGGATTACATCTTCACTCATCGGATGGTTCTATAATCAAACGAGTCCCTGCATACAAATACCACCTTGGTATTTGGATTTACAATTATTTATCATTTAAAAACATACGAATGAGCTTGTTAAGAAACTAAGATTTAAAGTGAGCTTTTTTTTACAGAAAAATATATTGTCTCTGGTCAGCAGGAAGCAGATGGTGCAGTCAACCTTTCTACCAGTTCTTGATTATGGTGATACTATTTATCAAAGTGCAGCTGCCTCTACTCTTAAACCACCGGATGCTGTTTTTCATCGCGCCTTCGTTTTATCACAGGATACATTTTTATTATTCATCACTGTATTCTTTACCGAAAGGTTGGCTGGACCTCTTTTTGAAGTCGCGTAGATCACATTACACTCTTTTTGTTTAATCGTAACTTAACTGTTACGATAAAAAAAATTACAAGTTAACCAACCCTGTGAACGGGTTTGATATCTCTTGAGACTCCTTTGGTGTCTACAGAGTTCGGTAAGTCAGCCTTTGGTTTTCTTGCTCCACATGTTTGGAATGATCTCCAAAATACATTTAGAGTAGATGCGGTAGTGTCCCTAGGGTAGTTCAGGCAGCGGACAGAGGATTTTTAAAATGAAGAATGTGTTTGTTCTAGTTGACTGTTTTGTGTATATTTATGTGTGTCTGTGCAATATGTGTTGTGCTTTGTTTTATATTGAATGTGATAAAATACAATTTATTATTATTATTTTTTTTATGAAATTGTATACGCAGGGCTCCCTCGTAAAAGAGACACTGGTCTCAATGGTGACTCCCTGATTTTAAATAAAGTAATACAAATTGGGAAGAGAAAATATTGGCAGGTTTCAACTCTTGTTTTGTAAGCAAGAGGTCACACTGTGTATTATAATGGATAACTTTAAGATTGGCTTTGCTTACTGAGACAGTAGTTGGTGTAATTAGTCAAATGAAAAGATGCTGTGTATACAACCCACCTCTTTTCACTAATACAACATCTGAAGGTCTGCAGTAAAACACACCCTTTATTGTACAAGAGTGACCGTAGTTCTGTTTCACAACTGTCCTAGTTTAACTAACTGCTCTACTTTACCACTGGAGGAGCATTATGAACCATAGCCTTAGTGTGGGTTTTGTCTTTGAGTTGTGTAAATAGGATGATCTACATTAATTCTCACCTGATGGGAGTTTAGTTACAAATGTAAAATGTCATATTGCGTCAGGGCAATGTTTCCCAAACCCCACTGAGTAGGCCTACTTTCAAACATTTAACTTAAGCTATTTTATCGACCTAACACTTTGATCAATTCCAGTAGCACAACTGGTCAACTAATCATCAAGCCCTTGATTAGTTGAATCTGGTCAGCTAGTACTGGAATAGACCAGATAAGTGGAAAAGCTGGGAGAGGTTTGGGAAACACTACCTCTGATGTCATATTACGGAGTCTACCCAAGAAGAAGACTATGACATTGTCCAGAAACAACCCTCTAACACCTAGGTCTGAGCGCAGCCTAGCTTATCAAAGGGAAAGCTGGAGTTACCAAAACATTTGTTACACCCATCCATAACCTTTAGATCCTCAGAAGTGCCTAAGCCCTAGGGGGTAGAGGCTAGGGTTGTGCCCCCATTGTATTGGTGGAGGCAAGGGCTAGTATACCAGTAATTATACCAGTAATTTCCTTTCAAATCAGTGAAGGGAAGTGAACAACTGCACACGTTGGGAGGAAGGAGATAGTATTGGTTATATACAGGTAATTCGGAAAGTATTCAGACCCCTTGACTTTTTCCAGATTTTGTTATTTACGTTACTGCCTTATTCTAAAATGAATTAAATAGTTTTTATCCCCCTCATCAATCTACACACAATACCCAATTTTAGCAAATTTATAAAAAAAAAACATAATATTAAATGTACATAAGTATTCAGACCCTTTACTCAGTACTTTGTTGAAACACCTTTGGCAGTGATTACAGCCTCGAGTCTTCTTGGGTTTGACGCTACAAGCTTGGCACACCTGTATTTGGGGAGTTTCTCCCATTCTTCTCTGCAGATCCTCTCTGTCAGGTTGGATGGGGAGCGTCGCTGCAAGGATCTCTCTGTACTTTGCTCTGTTCAGCTTTCTCTCGATCCTGACTAGTCTCCCAGTCCCTGCCTCCTGAAAAACATCCCCACGGCATGATACTGCCACCACCATGCTTCACCATAGGGATGGTGCCAGGTTTCCTCCAGACGTGACGCTTGGCATTCAGGCCAAAGAGTTCAATCTAGGATTCGTCAGACCAAAAAATCTTGTTTCTCATGGTCAGAGTCCTTTAGGTGCCTTTTGGCAAACTCCAAGCGGGCTGTCATGTGCCTTTTTTACTGAGGAGGGGCTTCTGTCTGGCCACTACCATAAAGGCCTGATTTGGTGCAGTGCTGCAAAAATGGTTGTCCTTCTGGAAAGTTCTCCCATCTCCACAGAGGAACTCTGGAGCTCTGTCAGAGTGACCATCGGGTTCTAGGTCACCACCCTGACCAAGGCCCTTCTCCCTCGATTGCTCAGTTTGGCCGGGCGGCCAGCTCTAGGAAGTGTCTTGGTGGTTCCAAACTTCTTCCATTGAAGAATGATGGAGGCCACCGTGTTCTTGGGGACCTTCAATGCTGCAGAAATTTTTTGGGACCCTTCCCCAGCTCTGTGCCTCGACACAATCCTGTCTCGGAGCTCTATGGGCAATTCCTTCGACCTCATGGCTTGGTTTTTGCTCTGACATGCACTGTCAACTGTGGGACCTTATATAGACAGGTGTGTGCCTTTTTTTCCAAATCATGTCCGATCAATTGAATTTATCACAGGTGTACTCCAAGTTGTAGAAACATCTCAAGGGATGGTCAATGGAAACAGGATGCACCTGTGCTCGATTTTGAGTCTCGTAACAAAGGGCTGGATACTTATGTAAATAAGGTATTTATGTTTTTAATTTTTTATAAATTTGCAAAAATGTCTAAACCTGTTTTTGCTTTGTCATTATGAGGTATTGTGTGTAGTTTGAGGATAAATAATAATTTAAAAAGGAAGGGGTCTGAATTATTTTCAAATGCACTGTAGCTTTTGGGTTGTTTCTGGACAGGGCCATCTTACCACTGCTCTTAGCTGATAGTCCGTATTCTAGGAATCTATGACGGTGTAGCCTAAGACCCCTTTCCCAACCTTGCCAACTAAGACACTGGACTGTGCTGGCTTGGATATGTTCTTTTTACATTGTCCTTTCCAGCACAGTTCCAACAACTATGGTGGATGCATAATCAGGCTGGCAAAGTACAGCTTGGGTACGGGGCTCCACAAATGCTTCTAAATTGACTACCTCCACTAAGGAAAATGTCTGCAAACTGTGGGCAAATAAACATCAGGACAATCCTTCTGCAGCCACCACTTGTCCCACTCTTCAAAGCAATGCCTGTACTGAGCCAGAGGAGTTTGTGAATTTGAAATCTTTTGTACTTCGACTCATGAACCACTGCAAGCTCTGTTCCAATGGCATTGGCCCATTCAGAAATTGTTAAATGTAGTGACGCCCTGACTTAGTGTTACTTTCTATCAACATTTCAAATTTAGGAGATCAAATTTGATTACCGTTCTGTTTTATTTTCTAGCTTCATGGGTAAATGTAGCCTAACCCACATCAACCTGGACCCCATGCACACATGCTAAAGCAGGTGGTGAGTATTTGGTCCAATTGTTTTGCATGCAGAGACCAACACAATAAGAAATGTAGCCTAACAAATGTAGACATTTGCCTTAATCTTGATATGGTGTCCTCTCCTTGTACAGCTAACATTTGATCACCAATACCCACTTGTACCAAGGTATTTTAATGAACTGTATGTGGTATCATTGAATATTGCATACACTATATCTGTCATGTATATTTATTGTCTTTCAGGATTGGGTGTTGGAAAACAGTGGTCCCAGGTCCCCTGTGGAGGTTGAGCATGGCTCAAGGATATAACACTTGTTTTCGTAACCTTCCGCCATTGTCGTCGGATTCAAGGACTTTGAATGTGCCTTTGGATTCTGAAGAGAGTTTGGCGCACCACCTTGAAACCCTCATTGAGCATAATGACCTTTCCAACACCGTGGTTTCACCAGAAAACACTTCCTCGGACTTGAACTTGAGTTCAAACTTTTTCTCAAATTCCAATACTAGTTCTGATTTTGTACAACAGAAATACTATGATGACGTCGTTTGGCAAGATGAGGGTCAACCAGTACATCATGGAGGTCAGTTTAACCACACAAGCAACAGCCTCTTTGCCCCAGCTAGAGCAGCCAGTTCAAGTAATTGCCTCTCAACTTCAGGTGCAGACCTAAACTCCCATGATCTTAAACAAGAATGTGACTTATTGAACCCTTCCATTCCTGAGGACTACTCAGATGTTAGTAGCTGCTCAGAGTCCAATGTTGACAGGACAGGGCCTTCTTGTGAAATGTTAAAACATGGTTCAAATGATACTCCACTGGTTGCAGATGACAAGAAGGGAAATGAATGTGCATGGAAGAGCCCAGAGACCAACACGGGTTCCCCAGAAAGCATGTCTGCTTCAGAGAGTGAGGTAGAGGAGGATCAAGATGAACCACCAGAGAAGGAAAAGGAGACCTTCATGATGCAAGAAGATAAATACTCGGAGACCTCTGGTGCTCCAGAAAGCCTATCCGTTTCAGAAGACGAGGGAGAAGAGGATCATCTGGATGGAGAAGCACATGAGGAGAAAGATGAGGAGACTTACATGAAGCAAGAGGGTCAACACACAGACGCTCCCTCAGGTGTCGAAAAAAGCCAGGCTGCCTCGGTGAGTGAGGGAAAAGAGGAACTGGATGATGAAGCACAGAATGCGGGGGAAGAGGGATACATGGAGGAAGAGGATCGGTACTCAAATGTCAGCAGCCTAGAAGGCCAAAATGAAGGAACCATCATAAGAGAGAGCTTTAAAGAGAAAGAGGCACATTCATTATCCCAAGGAACTATGGACTCGCAGGGTATCAATACATCCAACGCTCAAGATGCTGCTAACAAGCTGAATGATAATACCTGTGCCTTTGAATATCATGATTCAGTTAAGGATAATGACTCTTTAAAGGTTGCTGGTCAAGACAATGGCAAAAGTTCCTCTGTCATTTATGGATTAGGCCTAGGGGGTAGCAATCAAACGTTTGAGTCCTGTTTGGAATTTCCCGAAAATCAATCGTTGAAAACTAGATTTCAGGAGATCGTTGGCAGTGGCGCTCAAAGTACAAACTCAACCTATGAGGAAAGTGAGAGTGATTCTATTCGTGCAAGTGGAGGGAAAGAGGATCACAGTAGCTTTGATTTTTTGGAGCGTTGTTTAGGTCTGAACAGCTCTGGAATTGAACCAAAGTCCTTTATTGAAAATGAGTGGCTAAGACCTATGGATGAGTCAAATGTATCGTCTTGTTTGGAAGAGGACCAGACATCCCAACAGAACCTGATGCACCATATAGAGCCACCAGACCTTGTGAAAGCTGGTCTTGAAAACACAAGAGAGCCATTTCATAAAGGATTCACGGCAGATGATGAGCAAGAACCCCCAGTGCTAAGTGAATGCTACGGTGAACCATTGTCAAGAAAATATTGTATGCGTGACATCGAGGGCAATCAGGAAAAGGGGGAGACTGGGTCTATTGATTCAACTGAATTGAACCAGGAGGGAGGAGATTCAACTATTGATAACATTGAAGACAAGAGGGATTTTGAGGACCTAGCAGCTGAGTTGAAATCCTCACTGCATGTGAGGAAACGCATGCACCCTATTGTACTGCTCAGGAACTCTGAACAAAAAAATGACATAGATGGGGCTTATCAGTGTGCAGCGTGCCAACAGACCACACAAAGTATAGACCATCTAATTGAGCACCACCATTGTAACCACTCTGAGAACAAATTAAATTTCTGTCAGACCTGTGGTACTTACTTGACACGTGATTCACTAGCAAAGAAACATCACTGTGGTATTATTGATGAAAACGCACAACTCTCTTCTAATATGAAACCCCAGAAGACAAAATCAGCCGGGCATACTTTTCACAAATGTAGATACTGCACACAGACATTTTACAGACTGTGTGATTACAACAAGCATGTGCAGAGCCACTCGGTTAGAACTGAACACAAGTGTCATAGGTGTGGCTCTTACTTTTCACAAAGTGGTAGCCTGAACAGACATTTATGTGAAAAGAAATGCCAGCGTCGAAGTTCACAAGTTCCTGTTAAACAGATTCAAACAAACCCACGTATCAGCATTTACAAAAAGACAACTGTACATCCATACGTCCTCCCGCCAGACAGCCCCTATGCCAATCTTCCAGATTGTTTTGTGAAGCTGGTGGACATTTGCAAGGAACATGTTTGTCGTCGTTGTGGGAAAAGCTTTACAAGCAGTGCAAAACTCTACAAGCATGGATACAACGTTCACCATACAAAAACAAGGTCCTATAACGTTCGGCCTAAGTGTCAGAACACCTATAGGTCATACAAGTGTCAGAAATGCCAGATGACATTCAATTATTCAAGCAATTTTAGCAGACACAAGAAAAGATGTAAAGGGGCTGAGACGAAGGAGAAATTCAAGTGCCCTCTTTGCCCGCGCCTCTTCAAATATTCCTACAACCGGTCCCGCCATTTACGTGATCAGTGCATTAAAGACTTTGCGCAGGGAAGCTCGGGGAAAGTTGACATGAAATTTAGATGCCCCTTCTGCACCACCACCTTTACTAATGCGTCTAACCGACATAGACACATAAGACTGGTTTGCCTCAAGGAATATATGCACAATGAGACCTCAAGGACCAAAGCTGAACGCCAGGAAAACGTGGACCAGAAAGAAAAAACACAAAAGCCAACACTGAAAAACAGCACTGAATCAAAATGAGCTGGGTCTCAAATGCAACTACTGTCCAGCCGTTTTTGCTCATTCTTCTGGAAAGTACAGACACATGAAGAAACATAAGTTATTTGAAAACACTGGGGAAAAGATCACGTTCAGTTACTCAAGCGTAGTTCCCATTTCAAACAAATCCAAGGCTAGTATTGAGGAGCCCAATGATGGTCCGCTCTCCAGTGAAGCCAGCAGCCAGCCCTTTTCCTGTCGCTTCTGTGGAAAATGTTTCAACGCTTCATATTCTCTGAAGAAACACATCTGTAGTATGCACAAGGGTGACAAACCATATCGCTGCCTGGAATGTGGAAAACGTTTTGGGAAAGAAATCCATCTTGTCGCTCACAAAAAAGTGCACCAGCGAAGGATACAATGTACTGTTTGCAAGAAGATACTTCCTACCATTGGGGACTTGATTCAACACAGGCAATCTCATATCAAAAAGGGCATGCTTCAGTGCCCAGACTGCCCATCGCAATTCCAGTACCCAGTGTATCTTCTTCGACATATGGCATCACATCACAAACTTCAGCAAGAGCAGCCACTCAAAGAGAAAAAACAGAGGCACCCCTCAAAACTTGAGCCGCTTGGGTCCTTGCCACCACTCAAAGAGCAGGAAGAGGAAGACAATTTGGGATGCCCCCTTTGCCCAGAGGTCTTTCACAGTGCCACAGAACTGAGTAGTCACTGCCTAAACCATGATTCGGAGTCCTCTTCAAGTCAGTGTCCATTTTGTAAACGCCTCTTCTCTTCCCGCACATCTTTGGTACGCCATATACGCATTCATACAGGGGAGAAACCATTTTCTTGTCAGAGTTGTGGAGCACCTTTTCGTCGAAAAGAGTATCTCCAGTTGCACCAAGAAAAGTGTCCAGGTCCACAAAGCAAGCAAGAACAGCCCACTATCAAAGAAAGTGAAGATGTGTCATCAAAATCTTTGGTGACAAGAATAAGGAAAGTACACAAGTGTTCATACTGTCCTCGGGAATTTGAAAAATTGCCCCGTTTAATGCTGCACCACAATGGTCACATGCAGAATACAGTAATCCCCTGTCCAAAATGTGGTAAATGTTACAGACAAAGGCGCAAGTTACATGAAAGACTTTGCAATGGCTCAAACATAAAATCTGAGGAGCCAGTCAGCACTGTCTTGCATCCTTGTAGGAATTGTGGGAGGAAGTTTTCAAGGGATTATAATCTAAATGTCCATGAGAGTACTTGCAACACTGTAAAGCCCTTGCAAAAAAACACCAGCAATTCTGGCAACTCAAACATGCATCCTTGCAGGAATTGTGGAAAGTACTTTACAAGGAGTGATAATCGGAATGTCCATGAGAAGACTTGCGACTCTGCCAAGCCCTTGCAAAAAAACACCCTAGAAATTAGGACCAGTAGCAGGGACAAGTTGCAGCACAAATGCCCCCACTGCCCAAGCAAGTTCAAGTACAGAAGTCTTCTCCTGAGACATATTGGGTCACACACTGGAGAAAGATCATATCCATGCATGCACTGTGGTCACAGCTATGCAATCCAGTCACGATGCTTACAGCATGAAGCTTTCTGTGATGGCGTTAATAGACAAAAGCCACCAAGCGCCAGCCTTGTTGAATATAAGTGCAATATCTGCACAAAAACCTTCATGAAATCCCGAAATTTAAGGCGGCACATCCTAACACACACAGAGGTCAAGCCATATCGCTGTAAGGCCTGTGACAGCTGTTTCTCCAGGCATGATCATCTAAAACTGCACCAGAGTCGCTGCAAAGGGAAAAGACAACGTCTAGAGGTTCGCATTGCCAAAATTAGTCTTACAGATGTTGGAAGGGGCTGGCAAAATAACCTGAACAATACCGATTCAGGAACGCAACAAGGGTTTGACTGCAGTATATGTTCAAAGAGCTTCCCCACTCCTAGCATTATGGCCCGACATATTGCCATGTCACATGCTATAAGAACCATCAGTTCATTTACTCATGGAAAATCACTTAAGAGACATACAAGTGTCGGTGCATGTCAAAGAATTTACGCAAAAACAAAGCATTCAGAAAAGCTAAATGTTACAAGCCCACCATCTAGAGAGACAAACCGACTTCTACAGAGGATCCAGCTGCAATATAAAGACAAACGCAAATTCAAATGTACCTTTTGCCCTCGCCTTTTCAAAAGTGGTGAGCAATTGAGGGTGCACACCCGCTTGCATACAGGGGAGAAACCTTTTGGCTGTTCTAATTGTGGTGAGAGATTTATCCGTAGGGACTACCTGCAGCGCCATTTGAACAGGTGCAAAGGAGAACCTCTTGACAGAGTGCTTTGTGACAGATGTGGCGACGTATTTTCTCAAGAAGAACTCGAGAACCATCTACTGACATGTGTTGTCAAGTGTAAATCACCTGCCCGTAGTCTAACTGATTCCACTGCTCGCAGTCCCCCAAAAGGGTTCTCCTGTGCTAATTGCAGTGCCCACTTCTTGTTGTTCTCACAGCTCCAGCAACACTTTCTCAACACGCATAGCGAAGCTCCAACAAATCAGGCTTCACCTCTACAGGAGCAGTTGTCTAGCATGGTGAACATAAAAGAGGAGCCAATGGATGAAGGATATGGTGACACTCAGCAGAATAGTGATAACAATCTCATGCTTAATCAAGACAGTGATCCAAATAATGATATGAACAAACCCATTGAGTGTCCACAGTGCAACATGCACTTTGGAAATAAGGGTGGATTTGCCAGACACATGCGTACACATTTAGGACAGTACCCATTCAACTGCAAGAAATGCAAGAAAGGCTTTTGGAACAAAAACTTCTGTCGGACACATGTAAGGAAATGTAGACTTGTAAAGGTCACCAAGGAAGAAATTGACACTCTAATTACTTCAGAGATGGATCCTACTCTTAAAGAGACTGTCCTAGTCTTCAACCAAGGTTCCAAAACAACAGGCACTGGGGTTTTGCAGACTAATTTCTCCTGCAAAGATGACTTGAAGGATTTAACACTGCAGAGTTCCTTTGGAAATCAAGGCAAAGGAAGCTCTTCCAATGACAGAACAAATTGTGGTCAACAAGTCCAAGGCAACAAGTACCAGTGCTCAGAGTGTGATCGAAGTTTCACAGATGGGCTTCTGCTCATCAGCCATTTAGAGGACCATGGGCGCGAGGAGCTAGAAAGAAAAAAGAAATCCTGCCAGCATTGTGGTAAGACATTTGCTAATCCTTCAGACCTAGGAAGGCATATGAGAGTCCACTGGAATGAGAAGACCCATTCTTGCCCAGAATGTCCACAGACTTTTCTCTGTCCGTCTGACCTTGACATCCATAGAACTTGTCATGACTCAAATAGACCATTTGTCTGCAAAGAGTGTCAACAAAGGTTTTGGACCAGTCAATCTTTAGAAAACCATAAAAGCCAAGCTCATCCAAAAGAACTAATTTATACATGCCATGTCTGTAACAAGAACTATTCAATCAGAAGTTCACTTGTTAAACATATTCGGATGAAGCATCAAACCCAGAAGAACATGGATGTTATCCACGTGAAGGAAAAGGAGACTGCAGTGCAAGAGGAATTTGACATGGAAGTTGATGTGGATGGAGGAAGTAATGCAAGTAATGAAGATGAAATGAAAATGAGGACAATGACTCTGACTCTGCAGACTACTTCCCCTGCCATGTCTGTGGGAAAACGTTCACCACATCAGAAAGCCTTGAGGATCACCAACGCTGTCACCTTGGTGAAAAACCTCATGAGTGTGCAGAATGTGGCAAATGTTTTTTCCAGGCAGGACAACTGCAACAGCACCTTCGGAGCCACAAGTCTGAGTATCAGTGTCAAATATGTGGCAGAGGCTTTGTCTCACTCTTTGCCTTACGCAAACACAAGCATACTCATGGAAAGAGCCGTCAACACCGTTGCTCCAAGTGCCCGCTCAGCTTCACAGGGCCCTCGCAGCTGGCAGAGCACATGGGCACCCACCGCGATGACAATTTCCCTTGTGATATATGTGATCGCACATTCTCCTGCAAGATGAGTCGGGCAGAGCACCGGAAAATCCACACTGAGACAGAGGATGTTCCACTGCCTTTACTTCCACCAGAGAAGACTGCATCCCCCTCTCCTACTGCCTCTTCTTCTACAATGAAGTACCTTCAATATCGTTGTGGGGTTTGCAATGAACGTTTCAAAGAACCAGAACAACTGTCTGAGCATGGGTGCATGGCTGCCAGAGAGCGACCTTATTCATGCCAAGAATGTAATAAGCATTTCTTGCATGCATCTCACTTAAATAAGCACGAGCTCAGTCACTACCAAATACCACAATCATACGTGTATCGGTGTAATCAATGCCACATGAGTTTCAACTACCGTCACAATTTCGTCAGTCATTTAAAGAAACACGGTGATGATGAGGCTGCAGCAGAAGCTCTGAAAGGAGGCTCAGTGACAAATGCTTGGGAAACTGTTTCAGAGAAGAGAACAATTTACAAATGCCCAATTTGCCCTCACGGGTTTACTCATGCCATAGAACTGGCAAGTCACCTTTCAATACACTCTGAGAACACGTTTGATTGCAGTGTTTGCAAGTTGACATTTCCCACCAAAAACAAGCTTGCTGAACATGAAGAGAGCCATCTGACTGCTGCAACACAATACGAGTGCACTGAGTGTGGTCAAAGCTTCTTGGGCAGTGATTTCCGCCAGCACCACTGTGCTCGTCGGCAACGTGCTGTTACAGACCATGAACGCCCACATCTGTCAAATAGAAAGTCAATGGAGGAAGAAGAAGAGGTGGATGTTGGGGAGGACTTCTTTAATTGTACTGTCTGCTTAAAGCGATTCTCTTCTCGCGGTAGTCTCCAGCAGCATCTAAACAAAGAGCATCCCAATGAACGGCCATTCAAGTGCCAGTCTTGTGGAAAGACCTTTGCTCTGAAGAGATATCTCAGAGACCATGAGCGAAGACAACATAAGTTTGGCACTGAATTAGCCCACCCGACATACAAAGCCACGGACAGTGAGCGCCAGTACAAGTGCTCAGTTTGCCCCAAAACATTAACCTCGGCACACGACCTGTCATTGCATATGAAAGTGCACACAGAACAGGAATCTGGAGGAGACCACCGTTGTGACATGTGCTACAAATCATTCAGTCGACTGTCTCTTCTCAGGCAGCATCAAGAAAGTCATGTTGGGCAAGTTGTATATGAATGCACAGAGTGTGACAAAGCGTTTGCTTTCCCACATCTTCTAGAGGAACATCAAAAGACTCATGCTGCTGGACCATAAGTATATTTTTCCCCACCCTCAAAATCCTCCCACTAACTAAATGTAAAAAGACAAGTTGGACAATGGACATAGAAAATACCTGCCTCACTGATTGTGTTCAATTGTCCAATGAACTCAGTACTGTCATAGAAATGTAATTTTTTTTCTGGTGCTGTTTGCAGTCATTAAGCAATTTTGTGTTCACACTTCCATCTCAATCGTTTAAAGTTTTTGACTGGCTCACAAGATGTTTAACTGTGTTTTTAGCCTGATGTCTTTTCAGAAATGTTTGGCCTACTACTTGGTTCGTGAAAAGGTTTAGATTGTATTTACAGATTTCCTCCCCATTTTAACATTTAAATCTGGTCAGAACTGCAGTACATTGATACTATTACTGATAAGCTCCTTTCCGTAGAGCACTAATTTGTAATAGCCTCCATGTTCAATTGTATATAGTTGTTTAAATGTGTTATGTGCCCTGAATGCAATTACAAAAGTTTCAATTCACATTACTCAAGGTGAAATGTAAGCTTTTGACCATGGAATAAATTCAGATAAAGTGGAATGGGCTGTCATTGACAGTTTTAGGAATCCATATTGACCCGGTTGGATTGTTTTTCTGTTTGGTAATCCATTACTCTGCCTAACCCTCTGGATACGTTTAGCCATGTATGATCCATGTAGCCCTTCTAAACATTTGAAAACTTTCCAAATCTAAAACTACAGCATTGTATATTATGTAAATATGAAATGATCGTAAACCATTTAAGTATTTGACATGAAATTGACCATTGTTGTAAGCTATTCATTTCACTGTGTTTAGAAACATTCTGTATCATTCAAATGCCTTAAAGATGTGTTTTGGATGTAGTAGTTCAAGGGCAACATTTGTACATAATGTTTAAATTGTTTGGGAATACTATTTTTCCCTTATTGGGTGTTTCTTTTGTATGAATGGTATTTCAATCAAAAGACATTTAACAAACATAAAATAAACCATTCAACTGGTCATCTGTTGTTGGATTCTTATTGAGAACTTTATTTTAACTGAGGGTATGATTTGTCTTTTTGATTATAACCTAAGATGATCTTGAAACTGTAGTTATCACAATCAAAGTAATGTTTGCTCATGCATTGGTTATCTTTTTTTTATGTTGACTTAATTCGAAATTTGATAGTTGGCTTATGCTTTTACACTACATTCAGTTTTTGGACATTTGAACGGGTAAAATCAATTGTGCCATGCCCATGCTACATACACTGAGCGTACAAAACCATAAGGAACACCTTCCTAATATTACGTTGCACCCCCCTTTGCCCTCAGAACAGCCTCAATTCGTCGGGACATGGACTACAAGCGTTCCACGGGGATGCTGGCCCATGTTTACGCCAATGCTTCCCACAGTTGTGTCAAGTTGGCTGGATGTCCTTTGGGTGGTGGACCATTCTTGATACACACGGGAAACTGTTGAGTGGAAAAACCCAGCAGACTTGCAGTTCTTGATACACTCAAACCTACTACCATACCCCGTTCAAAGGCACTTAAATATTTTGTCTTGCCCGTTCACCCTCTGAATGGCACACATACACAATCCATGTCTCAATTGTCTCAGGGCTTAAAAATCCTTCTTTAACCTGTCTCCTCTCCTTCATCTACGCTGATTGAAGTGTATTTAACAAGTGACCTCAATAAGGGATCATAGCTTTCACCTAGTCAGTCTGTTGTGGAAAGAGTAGGTGTTCCTAATGTTTTGTACACTCAGTGTAGATTTTGTGTCCATCCATACATGTCTAATCAGTGATTGTGACAAATGTTGTGTTTGTAACATTATTCAAACAGTTAGAGGCAATTGGCAGTTGCTACATCCATTTTTGGACTTATAAATTAATGTTACAGTGCCTTCAAAGTATTCATACTCTGACTTATTCCACATTTTGTTGTTACAGCCTGTATTCAAAATGGATTAAATTGATTTTTTTTTCTCACCCATAATGACAGTGAAAACAGTTTTTAGATATGTTTGCCAATTTTATTGAAAATGAAATACAGATCTCATTTACATAAGTATTCACAGCCTTGAGTCTATACTTTGTAGAAGCACCTTTGGCAGCAATTACTGCTGAGTTTTTCTGGGGACATCTAAGAGCTTTCCACTCCTGAATTGTGCAGCGTTTGCCCATTATTATTTTAAAAACTCTTTAAGAGCTGTCAAATTGGTTGTTTATCATTGCTCGACAACCATTTTCAGGTCTTGCCATAGATTTTCAAGTAGATTTAAGTCAAAACTGTAACTAGGCAACTCCGGGACATTAACTGTCTTCTTGGTAAACAACTCCAGTGTAGATTTGGCCATGTGTTTTAGGTTATTGTCCTGCTGAAAGGTGAATTCATCTCCCAGGGCCTGGTGGAAAGCAGACTGAACCAGGTTTTCCTCTAGGATTTTGCCTGTGCTTAGCTCCATTCCGTTTATTTTTTTATCCTGAAAAACTCCCCAGTCCTTAACGATTACAAGCATACCCATAACATGATGCAGCCACCACTATGCTTGAAAATATGGAGAGTGGTACTCATTTGTCCCAAACATAACACTTTGTATTCAGGACAAAACGTTAATTCACTTTGCCACATTTTTTGCAGTATTATTATTATTATTTATTTTTTCACCTTTATTTAACCAGGTAAGCCAGTTGAGAACAAGTTCTCATTTACAACTGCGACCTGGCCAAGATAAAGCAAAGCAGTGCGATTTAAAAATAACAACAGAGTTACATATGGAATAAACAAAACGTACAGTCAATAACACAATAGAACATCTATATGCAGTGTGTGGAAATGTAGTAAGTTATGGAAGTAAAGCAATAAATAGGCCATAGTGCAAAATAATTACAATTTAGTATTAACACTGGAGTGATAGATGTGCAGAAGATGATGTGCAAATAAAGATACTGGGGTGCAAATAAGCAAAAATAAATAACAATATAGTGATGAGGTAGTTGGGTGGGCTAATTAGAGATGGGCTGTGTACAGGTGCAGTGATCGGTAAGCTGCTCTGACAACTGATGCTTAAAGATAGTGAGGGAGATAAGTGTCTCCAGCTTCAGAGATTTTTGCAGTTCGTTCCAGTCATTTGCAGCAGAGAACTGGAAGGAATGGCGGCCAAAGGAGGTGTTGGCTTTGGGGATGACCAGTGAGATATACCGGCTGTAGCGCATACTACGGGTGGGTGTTGCTATGGTGACCAATGAGCTAAGATAAGGCGGGGATTTGCCTAGAAGAGATTTATAGATTACCTGGAGCCAGTGGGTTTGGCGACGAATATGTAGTGAGGGTCAGCCAACGAAAGCGCACAGGTCACAATGGTGGGTAGTATATGGGGCTTTGGTGACAAAACGGATGGCACTGTGATAGACTACATCCAATTTGCTGAGTAGAGTGTTGGAAGCTATTTTGTAAATGACATCGCCTTGTTACGAACAGGATGCATGTTTTGGAATATTTTTATTCTGTACAGGCTTCCTTCATTTCACTCTGTTATTTAGGTTAGTATAGTGGAGTAACTACAATGTTGATCCATCCTTAGTTTTCTCCTATTACAGCAATTAACCTCTTAAGGATCGGAAAGTTTTTTTCAATTTTCGCCTAGAATGACATACCCAAATCTAACTGCCTGTAGCTCAGGACCTGAAGCAAGGATATGCATATTCTTGATACCATTTGAAAGAAAACACTTTGAAGTTTGTGGAAATGTGAAATTAATGTAGGAGAATATAACACATTAGATCTGGTAAAAGATAATACAAACCAAAAAACAGGCATTATTTTTTAGATTTTTGTTTGAAATGCAAGAGAAAGGCCACAATATAATATTGCAGTTTAGGCGCAATTTAGATTTTGGCAGTGTGTGTGCAAAGTTTCAGATTGATCCAGTGAAGCATTGCAATGCTGGACTATTTTGTATCAAGTCTGCCCAAATGTGCCGAATTGGTCAATTGATACATTTTCAAGTACATAACTATAGAGAACAAACAAAAAGGATATGGTAATACAAAATGTAAGTTTACACACTCCCAGGAATGTCTTACATGATGGATCATTAGCTTATACACTAACTTTCACACATCTAGATGGCCGGGCGGGGTGGGTGTGGAGCCAGAGACAGCAAGGGTTCAAACTGTAGAACCCAGTTTCTACATTTGAATATAAAAAATGATTTTATCAAACAAAACTATGCTACATTTTAACTCCGTACCCTCAGGATGACAAATCAGAGCAAGATTACTGAATGTAAGCACATTATTTACCTTCAGAGGTGAATGTATCAAACCAGTTGCCGTGATAAGTTTTTTGTTGTTGTGCACTCTCCTCAAACAATAGCATGTTATTTTTTCACTGTAATAGCTACTGTAAATTGGACAGTGCAGTTAGATTAACAAGAATACAGTGGGGGAAAAAAGTATTTAGTCAGCCACCAATTGTGCAAGTTCTCCCACTTAAAAAGATGAGAGAGGCCTGTAATTTTCATCATAGGTACACGTCAACGATGACAGACAAAATGAGAAAAAAAATCCAGAAAATCACATTGTAGGATTTTTAATGAATTTATTTGCAAATTATGGTGGAAAATAAGTATTTGGTCAATAACAAAAGTTTCTCAATACTTTGTTATATACCCTTTGTTGGCAATGACACAGGTCAAACATTTTCTGTAAGTCTTCACAAGGTTTTCACACACTGTTGCTGGTATTTTGGCCCATTCCTCCATGCAGATCTCCTCTAGAGCAGTGATGTTTTGGGGCTGTCGCTGGGCAACACGGACTTTCAACTCCCTCCAAAGATTTTCTATGGGGTTGAGATCTGGAGACTGGCTAGGCCACTCCAGGACCTTGAAATGCTTCTTACGAAGCCACTCCTTCGTTGCCCGGGCGGTGTGTTTGGGATCATTGTCATGCTGAAAGACCCAGCCACGTTTCATCTTCAATGCCCTTGCTGATGGAAGGAGGTTTTCACTCAAAATCTCACG